TGTCCATGCAGGTAGGGATTTGTTTTGCCTAGGTTTTGAGATATACCTCTTTGAGATTTGTGCATTTATCCCAATAAGAAAAAAATACATTTAAACATTTAAGAAGAATTTACAACCATGCTAGCAGCTCTGTCAGGCTACTGATAGAAGTGATAACGTTGTCAAAAATTAAACATATGAGAGCTGGTCCAGGTCTGTACACACTTTAAAATGCAGGGAATTGACCAATATAGCAATGATGCAATACAAATTTACATAACAGTTGCTTATTAGCACTAAACACAAAGTACAGATATATTGTAGAATAAAATTGATCTGATAATGGCACAACATAAAAAGTCATGAAATCACGATTACGATTCATCCTCTGGGGAGCATGAATGTCTGTCTGTTAGTTCGATACATTTTGCTAAAAAACAAAAGAACAAAAAGTCAACTTGTTAGAGGCAGAACATGAAAACTCCTGAAGGGATCATCACCTTCATCAGGATTCATCGTCTGGGAAACATGAATATCTGTGCCAAATTTCATGGCAATCCATCTAATAGTTGTTGAGATGTTTCAGTCTGGATCAAACAGACGACCCAGCACTTCCATCCCTAGAGCCATGTCCGCTTTCCTCTTGATAATCCACAGCACACACTGTCAATTGTTTTCATAGGGACTATTTCTTTGGCAGAAAGTATCCAGTGACACGGTGCAGTCTTTGATCTGCCAAATTTAAAGGTTTAAAGTGGCCGAGGTATATTTAGGTTGTTAAATCAGTGGGCATTAACTCAACTACACAATGAATGAACCTGAGGTCAAAACCTAAGGTCACAGGTCAGTGTTTGTGAGGAATAGTGCATTCTGATAAGTGAGTGGTTGTATGTTTGTGTTTGTGCTTGTGAAGATTCCTGTGTGGTCATCAACAGGCCCGGATGGGAGAGTTGTGACAGGCCCACAATGAAAGGTACACACAGATAAGACAGTGTGTGCGTAAGGAAAGTGATTTTAACTGAGAGTTCCTAAACACACCTGGGAGATGTTCTCACAAGAGATAAACCCTGAACGGTCTACAGCAAATACCATTCATTAAATGGGTTGACATTTAGGATTGGATAAGATTTTACTTTGTATTCTCAATGAGGAATTTTACTTCTCTGGGTACTATTTAGACAGAATTAAATCAAACAATGAGATTAGCTTCGCTTAGCTCAACAAACGGATACCAGGGTTTGTGTCCTGTCTCCTGCCAACAGTCAACACTGGTTCTCTTTATTCATGAGTAATCTCTCCAACATTTAATAAGATTGAAAAATTTAGTATAATATTCATAAGTATGCTTTAATTTGTGTAAAATCAAAAGAAAATAAGAATCGTGATGTTTTTGTTACCTGACAATGAGCTGTTTTTATCTACAGACACTGTGGGTCACCTTCCATGGAGGCCATCATGTTGAACCAGAACCAACCAACCAACCACAGGCTCTTGATGGGGCATTCGTGCAATTGCAGCCACTGTACTTTCTCATTTGTGCTTGAAAGGGGAGGGTGAAACTACACCACTAGACGCCACTAAATCCTACACACTGGTCCTTTAAAGCTGCAGCGATCAATATATTTATATGTGAAAGGAAACACGTAATGACGATTCGACAGATATTTTTTACAGGACTCTGCAGTTTCCCTCAGCTCTACGAAACATTTTAGTTTAGTTAGTATCATTTCCCGCCGCAGCAGACAGCTGTTTTCAGCAAAAAGACCTGATAAATTCACTATGCAAACAGCTGACTGGGACAGCATCAGAAACTGTTGAAACTTGATCAAATATGCAAATAAGATTAAATAACACCACCCATCTATCTTGGAAGAAAGCGTATAGCGTTAATAGAGCTGCAGGATCAAGTTTTTCTTCTTCCTCTCATAGAGATAAATATAGCATTTGAAGTAAGCAGTTATACATTTTCATGAAGACTGACATGAACCCATACTGCACGGGTCTTCACTCCCAGATTTGCTTGTTTCTGCTGTGACTTCCTGAACATGTGGTCCCTCAGTGCTAGTCCCAACATATTGGAATATGATCAATGTTGACAGGTTTAGCCTTTGGTCGGGTTAAAGTACAGTATATTCTCCCCTCTCTCGCTCTTTCCCTTCATTTTTCTTCTTCACTGACCAAATAGGCTTATGAACTCTTTGAACTGCTTGACTGAGAGTACACAAAAACCAACTCACTTACTGGAACTTACCATAAGGAGATAAACTGAAGACAAGAAAGTGAGAGAGAGAGAGAAGCGATGAGGGGGTGGAATATGGCGCTCTATAAAGAAAAGGAAGAACATACAGGAGAAGAAAAGGGGAAAACATTTTTCTCGCTTGCTTAAGTACTTGAACTTTAGCTCTTACTTCATCTAAAAGCTTCTACTTATCTGCTCATCCTAATAAGAGAGCAGGATGGAGGAGGGTAATGAAGGTCAGGTGGACGTGTGCTGCCTCTGTGCGGCACACTCCTCACAGCTGGGCAGGGTCAGCGGTCACAACACTGATTGGCTGATGATTTATGCCACCGCTATCAGGAGTGAGTTAAGTCATCTGTGCCGCATCGAGTCCAAATGGCCGTCAAACATTTTCTTTGAGCAGCGGAATGACTTTCGGCAAATGGTAACTAAAACAGAAAGAACTGCATGGTTACTGGGAATTGATAAGACACAAGGAGTCATCTTTTCCTGTAACTTTCAATTACACACATCCCTATTCCTGAAAGCTGTATCAGTAGATGTTTCATTTTTTAAACCTTAATCTGAAACACACACATATTTGCACGTACATGATGGGCCCTCTGCTACAGCCCAATGCCTGACACGGGTCACACACATACACCTCACTAATATTTTAGGCATGTTCATAAATGTGCTCACACGAATGCAGCTTGGTCACATGGTGCTAAGCGGTGAATGTTATCAGAACACATTATCGGGGCATACTGTGAAGGTTAATTCCTGGATAATTTATATAAGATTGGTGAAGAGGTCGACTCTGATAACTCAGTCAGAAGCACCTTGCAGTGCAAATCACTCCCTTCCACACACTTGCCAGCAGCTTATGCTCTCACGAACACACGCCAAGAGTCTAAGACTCACTTCATACAAAAGGGGCGTGTACAAGGCGGAAAGGAGGAGAGGGAACAGAGAGGAAGAATGTGTCATTTGGCTCCAGGTGATAAAAAAGTGTGGCAGTCAGCCATTAGGCTTTTGGTAATGGAATGCTTCTGTTACATTATACATTTAAACAATGTGACTTTCATCCTCACATGCCCTCTCTCTCTCTCTCTCT